ATAATCTATATTATTTCCCAGAAGCACAATGAAAAAGTTTTGTCACTTGGGTTCATTTGCTTTAAAAGATTAAAAGGTAAATTAACAGCCTGGAACTAAAGTGTGATTTTACTAAAAAACATACATATTTTATAATTTTCAAAAACCATTCAAATAAAAAAAAAAATATATATATACACACACACCTCTGTGACAACAGTAAAACACTCAAAACTTCCAGAATAATAAATTTACTGGCACTTTTAGAAAACACCTGCCACTTCGTGGGACCTGTTCGGGTTACGTCTCCAGCAGTAACTCCACCTTTATCTTCCGTTTCCTAATGACAAAATTCCACTGGTTGCGGGGTGAAAGAATAGCTCATTGTACAGCTGTTCCTCAGCTAGCCTTCATTAGCCAAAGTACGTGGCTCTTCAGTTTGCTCCCTAGTAAAACTCTTAGGATGAAGTAGAATTTAAGTTGTCATAAAGGAGCTTAGACACCTCATGAACAGCTTCTTGAAAGGGATTAGACTGCAGGTCTGTAGAGCACCAGAAATCTGCAGCACCAAAGCCACAGAGTCAGCTGCTCATTAAGTCTCTTCCCAACCAACTTTCTTGTTTAGGAAGTTGGTATTACCAGGAGCTTCAGAGCATGGCAGTTTGGTCCTCTGGATGTCCAGTGGACAGTTCTGCTGAGGGATATCATAGAATCATAGAATGTTTTGGGTTGGAAGGAACCTTTAGAGGTCATCTAGTCCAACCCCCCTGCAGTGAGCAGGGACACCTTTAACCAGATCAGGTTGCTCAGAGCCCTATCCAACCTGGCCTTGAATGTTTCCAGGGATGGGGCCTCCACTACCTCTCTGGGCAACCCGTTCCAGTGTTTCAATACCCTCATTGTAAAGAATTTCTTCCTTATACCTAGTCTAATTTATCCTGTTTTAGTTTAAAACCATTACCCCTTGTCCTGTCACAACCAGCCTTGCTAAAAAGATTGTCCCCATCTTTCCTATAGGCTCCCTTTCATAGAATCGTTTAGGTTGAAAAAGAACTTAAGATCATCAAGTCCAACCATTAACCTAACACTGCCATTCTACCACTAAACCATGTCCCTAAGCACCTCGTCTACCCATCTTTTAAATACCTCCAGGGATGGAGACTCAACCACTTCCCTGGGCAGCCCGTTCTAATGCTTGACAACCCTTTCGGTGAAGAAATTTTTCCTGATGTCCAGCCTAAACCTCCCCTGACGCAACTTGAGGCCATTTCTTCTTGTCCTGTCGCTTGCGACTTGAGAGAAGACACTGACACCCCACCTCACTACACCCTCCTTTCAGGTAGTTGCAGAAAGCGGTAAGGTCTCCCCTCAGCCTTGTTTTCTCCAGGCTGAACCACCCCAACTCCAGGCTTTAAGTACTAGATGGCCTCAATCAAGTCTCCCTGCAGCCTTCTCTTCTCCAGGCTGAACAAGCCCAACTTCCTCAGCCTGTCCTCATAGGAGAGGTGCTCCAGCCCTCGGATCATTTTTGCAGCCCTCCTCTGGACCCGTTCCAACAGGTCCATGCCCTTCTTGTGCTGAGGGCTCCAGAGCTCGACACAGTACTCCAGGTGAGGTCTCACCAGAGCAGAGGGGCAGAATCCCCTCCCTCGACCTGCTGGCCACGCTTCTTTTGATGCAGCCCAGGATATGGTTGGCCTGACAGCACACATATACGATACGCTATATTAATTCAGAAGAACGCATGGTGGAGCGGCTCCACCTAGTTTATCTGCTCTCACAGGCAACTCCACCACAGAAGTTTAGTTAAATGCATCCCCAGAACATCACTTCTGTGCTATCCCCCTTTTCCCCTACCACTCCACACCAGCCACAAATACTCTTCTCTCCTTATCAGCACCCCAACCTTCCCCTAATCCAAGCACAGTTAACTTGAAAATATATTTGAGCAAGCATTACTACAAGATCCAGTTACTAAAAAATAATCTGGAAATGCATTAGTTCAGCCAGTATCAACAGCCACAAAAACCTTAAGCGTCCAGGCGTCGATACTTGAAGACAATGATACTCGGTGGCCCAAATGACTTGCTTTCATCTCCAACGCAGTGACTCAGAGGACACACTTGGTTCCTGCACTCAAGCCAAAACGCACAACCCTGACTTCTTCCCATCTAGATTCATGTGGGAAAAAATTGTATTGTATTCTGTATTAGCCGTTGTATATCAGAGCAAGGGTAGGGCTTTACACGAGAGAGCTCAGAGGGTAAAGGAAGACTGAGGTGGCCAAGAAGCGCTGTTCACAGGCGTGTATGAACACGAGACTGTACACACAGAAAAACAGAGGAGCTCATGAGAGATGGATACATATGATGAAATGCAAATGTTCATTGGGGTGATTTGGTTGAGGTTATGAAGAGGAAAGGCAAGACTGGGCGCTAGGGATGTTTGTTGAGTAGAGGGAAAAAGGGAGATGCCACGAGGAAACAAAGTTGGAGAGTTCCCAGCCAAATTTTTGCTATTCACCAGAAGAGCACTTTTTTCTCGAGAGCATTTCCTCTTCCCTTCAGAGGTGACCAAAAGCGTGTGGAAAGTAATTGATTAGCAGTCTGATTGGCGAACATGCTCTGTAGAAGTTAGGGCAGGTCCAGAGGAGGACCACAAACATGGTCAGAGGGCTGGAACACCTCTCCTATGAAGAAAGGCTGAGTTGTGGTTGTTCAGCCTGGGGAAGAGAAGGCTACAAGGAGACCTTATTGTGGCCTTTCAATAATTAAAGGGGGCTTACAAGAAAGATGGAGGAAGACTTCTTACCAGGGCCTTCAGAGACAGGATAAGGGCCAATGGTTTTAAACTGTGAGAGGGTAGATTGGATGTAAGGCAGAAATTCTCTGTGAGGGTGGTGAGGCACTGGCACAGGTTGCCCAGAGAAGCTGCAGATGCCCCATCCCTGGAAGCGTTCAAGGCCAGGTTGGAGGGGGCTTTGAGCAACCTGGTCTGGTGGAAGGCGTCCCTGCCTACGGCAGGACTAGGTGATCTTTGAAGGTCCCTTCCAATCCAACCCATCCCATTCTGTCATACTATGATTCTAAGTACTGAGAAAGGTAAGTTTTTAAAACAGAAGCAAGAGAGATCCCAGAGTAAGTTTTGATGGGGAAGAGACTCTAAATGCTTATTTCCAGCTCTCATAATTAGTAAACTCGTTGCATCATCCAAACTTTATCTTTTACCAGTGCATCTTACAAGCATTTTCTCTGCAGTGTGTCAGTGGGTAATTAATTTACTTCATGATAAAAACATTTCAGAATTTAAACATGGAAAGAATGGTAGCTCATTTCTCATTTGGGATGCTGTTCTGGGCTATCTGCACATTCATACAAACACCACAGTCATTTATAATAGAAGACAAAGACTAAAAAAAAAATTACACTTTTTCAGTTATCATTGAGAGATCAGTTCTGGAGTAAACCAAAACTTGTGATAATTTCACGATTTTTTAACATTAATAAATCCATTATTTATCCATTAATATTTGAAAATGAGATAGTTAAACCCGAACACCTGAAGTCTGTATTTCTTTCAAAAGAAAAAAACCTGTGTTCAACCACGCTCTGACTCCCAACCTAAAACTGTTCCATAATGAATCAAATAATCATTTCCAAATATACACGATTGCATTATAAGACATGAAGATCTGTGATTGGGGTTCATTACAATACATATTTTTATGTAGTCTTTTAAGAAGCAAAAAATTGGTAAATTATATTTTACAATAAATTATTAAGTTTTCAAATTCATAGGCTAGAAAGTAGTAAGCATGGAAACAAAGGGTTAGTAGCAAGAAAGATTAGCAAACAGCAAGATAGTGCAGCTATCACAAATCCCAGAGACTGAACGTAATCGACAATACTACACTGTGTAATAAAAGCGTGGAAGATCCACACTCTTTGTAATCATATAGACTGAGTCAGGTCTGTAAGTCAACCCATACAAAACACTTAACAAAGTCATAGGTTATTGCAATTGTTTTCTATAATAGAAAGTTACTATTTATTTTTAAAAATACAGCCAAAATAGAATTTGCCAATTTAGCCAGGTTTCAAGACATTTACAGTGATTTTTTTTATATAATGGCAAGACAACTACAGCGACACTGTAATGCTTACACTGCAACTGATGCACTAGCAAACTGCAACGGCTGAGCAAAACGAACAGACGAGTTGCAAAATGAACAGACTGACTTTCACTGACACTGAAGATCACACAAAGAGAGTAAGTGTATGGACAGGCAAGTTTGTAACTGCAGGAGGTATTGCAATGAATGTACTTTGGAAAAAGTTTAAAATATAACAATTATTTGCACTAGGAACGTTACCAGTATGAAACAAGCAACCTAAACCCACATAATGTATGTACAACATACTTTAATGACAAATATTTGAACTAGGAAGCTTATAATATGTAACGTTGCTCCCATCTTTAATGACAGGATTCTAAAATGTGTAAAATTGTTTTTCCTTTCACGTGATTTATATTAAAATGATTTTTCTTGCTCTTAATATTGAAAATTTTAAAGCTGTTGAAACCAAACTTGCCCTTTCATTGGCAAAAAGACTTCTTAATTTTTGGCTAGTAAATGCCACAGTTTGGTTAAATCCTGGTTGGTTGTGAAAAAATGTCAGACTGCTGAAGATCAAAAAGTTGAAAAATAAATTAAAGGTGAAAGGAAGGGATGACAAAAATAATGAGATATTTTAACATCCACAGTGGAGTGAGTTTCAGTATTTCCATTTTTGTTAGCTGATTAGCAGTTTTACTATACAGCATGAAAGAAACCAGTAGTATTAGCCAGCCTGTCATTCAGTAACAATGTTTATTCACAAGACTATAAATGACGATAAATCACACAGGTGGTAATGTGAGACCGTGTCATCATAAAGAAATAGCTGTTAGAAACACTAGGGGCCTGAGCTGAAGGTAACTTAATATGCTCCACTTAACTGAGCAGCAGTTATCTTAACAAACCCAGAATGTCGCTGCTCAGCCTAATGAGCTGCTGCATTATTCTCAGATGACTGCCACGCTTCACATCCAGAAATAAGGAAAACCCATGTTCATCCCTGTATTAATTTACCTGTTTTAAAGCTCCCATTCCTGAGAAAACCCAGTTATACCTCATTCCTTATCAAAAGCGTGACTTGATAGTTGAAGAATGATTAATGAAATTATTTTTAAATGATTAATGAAAAATCTTGATGAGCAAAGTGAGTAACACTGAAGCAACAACCTGCAGTACGGATTCCCTACCTTCTAGGTCATCATGAAGCCAAAAGAGATTACTTGCCAGGCAGCACAGGCCGGTTGCACCCTGCCTTTAAATCAATACTGAACTTACGATGAAAATTTATTATTATGAAAAAATGTAAGAAAACTTTTGGGGAAAAAAGGTTACTTACCAGTAGCCAGAGCTCTTTGCAATGCGTTGTGTGAATGCACGTTTGCTCTACAGAGGTCCAAACATCAGAGGTATCCAAGAACATAAAATGGGGGGGTTTGGCCCCGGTGTGTACTCGTATCTCTCCCTTTTCCTTGCCTTGACAGCAAGCAGTTACAATATTCTGTCAGCCACACATAGCCTGGGAGAAGGGTATGTGGTTATGGCATATATGGACATCACACAAGTAGCTAGGAGCTCTTTGAGACAGGCAACTTTTCTTTACGTACATAGCCATGTACATGGCCACACCACAGATAATTAAGCATCCCAGTATTCTTAGAAAAAGGTGGCTGGCAGAAACTTCTTTGGTCTTTGGTTGATTTCTTGAACTAGTTGTCCAGTTTGCAAAGATGTGAAAGAGATATTATTGAGCAAAGCCTCAAATGTAGTCTGAGAACTATGAAGAGTATCTCCTGACCCCTGATGGGGACTCAACCATACTGTTCAAGAGACGCAATACAGCCCGTTACCTAGTTTGGAGACGGTTATCCTGTTTGATTTCTCAGCTGGTCAAGAGAACTAGATTAAAGATACTCTGAAAGTCTCTGTCCCATGCGAATAAGAAGACAATGTTCTCTTGCTACCCAACACGTGACAGGAAATCTCAGACCTGAAAATACAGCATTTAACAAGAAAAACATGGATGGGTGAATTTCCTGATTCTGTGATCTGGCAGATATGCCAGATGAAGTCCAAGGGATTTGCATGTGGGAGGGGAAAAACTCAGCCATTGGGCTTTGGATCTTCTGCTGCCCAGCAGAGGTGATGGGCATCAAAAAGAACAGCAAGGACATGTTTCAAACACATGAATTTAAACAACCTGATGTGAAACATGACCAAGGTTCTTGTGCTTTTGAGTTAACACATCCTAAGTAGTCTTGACCCAGCAGTCAGTGGTAATGGCAGTCCAGACGTTACTGAAGTAGGCTAACTTGTATTCAGACTAGGGCACAAAGAGGAAGCAAGAACAGAAATCCAGAGAAAGTAAGGGTCTGAGGCCATCTCCTCTAAAATAGTGCTCTGACAAAAAAAGCAAAAAAAGCCCCAAAAAGCAAAACAGAAGTATACTGGCTATAGAAAGGCAGCTAAATACCCATCAAGGAATACAGGAACCTTGCTAGGGCATGTGGTCAGGAAAGCTAAGGCTCAGCTAGAACTGAAATTGGCTGAAGATGTCAAGACCAACAGGAAAGCATTCTTCAGATATGTGAGCAGTAAGCAGAAGCACAAGGGAGACACAGACCCATTGCCTAACAGGGCAGAAAACCTACTCACTAATAATGCTGACAAGGCAGAGGTTCTCGCTATCTTCTTTGCCTCTGTCTTTGCCAGCATAGCTGGATTGAAGAGCACAGGATCAAGTGGCTATGACAATGCACGTGTTGACCCAAGCAGTAGCAGAGGAAGGGCTGGTGTGCAGCCTCTTGCAAGGGCTCGATCCACATAAATCCATGGGCCCAGAGGAAATCCACCCTAGGGTATTAAAAGAAGTGGCTGACACTGGTGCAAGGCCACTGTGTATAATCTTTGAAAAGTCTTGGAGATCTCAATGTAAGAAAGAAATTTTTTATGCTGAGAACAATCAATTGCTGCAACAAACTCCACAGGGATGTGGTGGAGTCTCCTTCACTGGAGGTTTTCAAGATGTGATCGGTCAGGGTGCTAGATCATCTCCTCTAGGCTCCCCTTCCCACGGAAGGTTGGACTGGATGACCTTTCAAGGTCCCTTCAAACCTGGGCGGTTCTATGATAAAGTTGGATGAGCCGAGGGATTCAATTGCTAAATATTTACGTCAATAGAAATAGTGGTATTTTCCCAGCTGTTTCTGCAGCTGGATGGTACCACGCAAGAGGCTGCATCAGCTGAATCTTTTGGCCAGCTGTAAACAAAGAACTGTAAATCACACCTGAGGCTCAAGCTGCAGGGTGGAAGATTTCTGCAAGGATGTGAGAGAGATTTGCACAACGTACTGCATTCAGAAGGAACCCAAGCTTTTATTTCCATCTTACTATTATCTGGGTTACATGAATCTTGAGAATATTGGAGTAAAAAACTTCAAAGAGTATTGGAATGCCTAGGAAACCACCTCCAAAATATTCAGGAGTGATGTGCTGTCAGCTTCCTTAAAAGGTTTACCCCAGAGGACTGCAAATGTCCCATGCCTGTTGGGGCCAGAATTGGGTTAGGAGTAGCACAGGGCTAGAAAGCAGGGTCATAATTTCTAAGGAGAGCTGAGCTGAAGAATGATGTACCTCCCCACCTGCAACCTGGTCCCACGGATAGCAAGACAGGCCTCTAACCCCCAGGGAGAGAACAAGCACAGCATATTGGCAGCAACTGTCTTTCAGATTTCCATAAGCCCTGCTGATGAGGTGCATACCTCCTGAAACGCAGAGGAGTAGTCCTCACACTGCTCTCCAGGGAACACAGATGAAGAGCTTGAATCCTGCACCCTTCGGAAGGTGGAATGTGGGATAAGCTCAGCTGCCATGGCCAGCTCCAACACTGAAAGCTGCCCTCCAGCAAGTCTGTAAGTGCCAAAGCAGAGCAAGGGGGGGTGCTTCCATCCCATCAAGGGCCCTCAGCACCGAGTGCTTTGGTCTGTGGTACTGGATATGACCGGTCCTGTAGTACAGCCTCAGATTACAGAGTTTGGGTGGAGGAAGATCCAAGCAGCTCAGTGAGCAGAATCGAAAAAAACCACAGAAATTCAGTGCCAGAGGCAGTTCTCTGATTCTTTTTGGCTGGTTGAGATCTTCAGGTGCTAAGAAAACCCACAGAACTCATCCAAGCCTCATCTAGTAGTCTCTTGGTGTTAGGGTGGCCTTGGAGCTGCCAGTGCAGAGTGGGCAAAAGCCCCCATTTAAGCTCATCTTTTGGCTAAGCAATTTCTGGTGCAACCATGTGTTTCTTGATTGGGTGAGGCTCTTCTTCACCCAGTGTTGCAAGAGAAAGAGAAGGTTTATGATAAACAGAACTCAGCCTTGATTCAAGATTTAGATAATCCTAAACGCTAGTGTCACAGGTAGACCACCACTTTTACTAGGATACTCCTCTCATTTTAAGCAATGGGTATTAAACGCGCTAGGAATGTTTAACTTCCTGATGCAAAAGGAAGCAAGAACAACCATATGTCAATGTTACTTGTCAGTGAGGCACATGCCTCAAGACAGAAAAACATTTAAACCCATCCTTAGATGGAGCTGTGGAGTATGATTCAGGCAACATATATGAAGTATCTAGACCCATTTCTAATAAGGAAAGGAAAAGCAGCAGAGACCATGCTCCCATAGGGAGGGGCACTGGATTTGACAAACTCGAATTTAAAAAATAATCATACGAGACTGGTTGGAGAAGAGAACTACATAGCCAAAGGCTGACAATAATAAAAAAAATAAAGACATGAACACAAGTTAAGAGGCATCTAGAACGCTTCCATTGTTGTGCGCTGAGTAAGATAGAGGGAGGGGTAGTGTGAAAAAGCTCTAACTTCTGAGACCAGAAAAAACAGGAGGGTGCTGTCTTTGAATACCTGCAGTATACACTTCCCTGTTAGTTTTCATAGTATAAACCAGCTGATGTCTACCAAGACATACTACTACAACACAGTATTCCTTTGCATCCACAAAACAGTCAGTACCTACCCTTTGCTGCGTCACTTTTGATCAACTGCATCAACATATCATCAGGGTATTTTAAAATGTGAACTTCCTCTACTTTCCCTGCACTTGTAATGGTGTCCAGTGTTTTCGTTCAACAAGAAACAAATCTCTCTTCAAAACAACAGGAACAACTATGTTTAGTTATCACCGTCTTGTTTCCATGGAAACACCGGTCTTTTTGATGTTTGATCATGTATTTTCCATTCTATCAGTGAGAAGGAACTAGTAGCAAAACACTGAAAACACAACTCAGAGAGGAAAGTTAATTTATTTTTCTAAAACATCAAACTAAGTTCAGATACCTTAGTCCAGTCAAAGCTGCTTCAGTTTCTTCACAAGCCTGGACTCCATAAACAAATATTCCAAGTTCATCTATCTACAAAAATAGGATGGACAATTCTTGACTTTCTTCAGATATCAAGTTAATTTACAAGTCCGTGAAGATCAGATGAAAAATAGGAAGCGATCCTATATTCCTTAATACACTCCACCACGTTTCCCAAGTGTACTGGAAAGGAGGAATATCAGCCTTCTTTGGAAAGGTGCACGGGAAGGCTTATTGCCATCTCTTGGAGACAGGGTATGCATTTACATCACCATGACTGCCATGGTACAGAATCCTTGACTGCTACTTTTATACGGCATGACCAATTATCTGGGAGTTGTAGTCCGCTGTCTCCATTCGCAGAATATATGGGATGATGCTATCTATCTGAACATTTCCAATTAGTCCTGCAAAAAACAGCTCTTCGGTGATGGCAGCACTCATCAGCCTAAGAGCAGGCAATCGGAGAAGAAGTCTAGACAGTCTGGAAAACAAGTTTGGTAAAGAGTGTTACTTGTGGTCACAGATTTTGGTGTTATTCACAGTCACGTTATCAGCAAGAGAAGAGAAAAAATTAACGGGACAATACTGGTCAAAATTTGCTACATCTAGTTCATGAAAGGCTGAAATATTTAAATCAGTAGAGTATTAAATTGATGTGCAGTCATGTCTTCAACAGTACTAAAAATGTGAATATGCCTGTCAATTACATGGGTTGTATAATGTTTGGACTTAAGACTAAATGAGGAAATATTCCAGGTAGGTACAATTCAAAATGAAAACATTAAAAATATTTATTTTATTTCCAAGATTTCATTTTGGAAATGAGTAATTTGAGTAGATAAATAATATGATATGTATGAGTACATGCATAATATTTGAAGTGCTCTAATTTCTTACCTTTAGAGAGGTAACAAGGAAGCGTGCGTATTTAGTACAAGAAATACTATACAAATCAGTATCTCTCTGAAAAGAGACTCAATCAAGTAAGCATGTAAGTTTACAGACCTGTAAGTATCATCTGGATATGCTTTTGTTACATAGTCTTGGAATTCCATGTAAGCCTTTTCTTGAAATTTCTCAATCTGTACCACATTTTCTAGACCTGGGTGATCTGAAAAAAAACCACTCTACATTGTTATACCTGTTCTATGTAAGATGCACTAAAATCCATGCAGATCATCTAATTATAGGCATACTGAAATCAAAATTTGGTCGCTGTAGCAACTTCACAGTTTTAGTGGAGGACACAGTTTTGCCTCCTTATATTTCTTTTCCTCTATGTTTATGTTTTACTTTGTTTTTTTATGAATACACCCAAACATTCTGAAGACTTCAAATAAATGCCGAGCTTACGATGTTTACATCAATCTTGATGATGCAGCTGTGTTCTCTGGGTAGTAGTAGAACAGCATTGTCTCAATACACTGACATTTATTGGAATATTGTATGCAGAAATAGCAGTTGGGTGGGAAGTGAAGGATAAAATTAAGATCAGTGGAAAAAGCAGAATGAAAGGCTATGAACCATTTGTCTGCTAAAAACCGCAGAAGGTAACTAGCAGATCATTCTTTCTCAACTGTTTGCTGTAAAATTTTCAAACATGCTAAACATAATTTTTAGGAGTGATTTAAACACTTGAAATTTAAATCTTGCTAAAATGAAAGGATATTAACCTAACTGCCAAATCACATTTGGAAATTATTACCCGGTAATTCTGAACACTTTATGTAGTTGTAATTTTTATTATCCATCTATCTTAATGTAAATATTTTACTGTCATAGTAGCATGAAAAATCATGCAATTTTGTTTTTGAGAAATGGGATCATAAACAAGCTGCCAAATTATGCCAAGTAAAAGATTATTTCTAACAGTCACTCCTCCTCTCCAAATAGATGGCCTTCTGTCAACAAACCCAGGAGTTTTTGGTCTAGCTCTGCAGATACAGAAGCTTTCAGAGCAATTTAGCAGTTTTGTGATACATTGGGCTCCCCTGAACACATCATTTCACAGAGGAGTATTTTGTCCTATACAGTAATTCAGTCCTTCTGAAAGCACGATTTCAGATTTATGCAGAGGACAAGAGGTTAACAAGCTCTTAAAGCTCGTAAAGAAGAGTTGTCGTTTACATGCAATATGCATTGCTTCCTGCTGCTGCTTTTAGAGCAATGTCAGAAACACAGCCTAGAAGTCAACTTCCGAAAACAACAGTTTGAAGACCACTGCTAGTACACTAGTAGCCATTTATAAAGATGCAAAGTCTTCTAGGCACTCCCTTTACGCTCATCTCTTTGCCCAAGGCTGTCTTGTGACAGTCAAACAGCTGGCTCGGCACAGAAGATTTTCAGTAATCTTCATGTCTCCAGCTATGGAAGACAGCAAATTAGCAGGGCCTACTAAAGTGGATGTTCTTACCTTAGGACTCTGCTGCTTGTGCAGCCCAGCCCCGGTCCTGTAGCAGAGCAGTAAAATACCTGGAATTGTAATTTCTGGCCTGTGAATCACTGCCAGAACATCCCTTTTGTTCAAGGTACTGAACACGACTTTCAGGTATATGAAGAGTTTGTTATATGGCTCATAGGATCAAGAATACTGAAAACATATTGCCATTAAAGCAGCTACAAATCATCAGGAATGTGATCCTGAAAGCACGTGAGCTAAAGAAAATTGATCTCAGTCAAGTGGCTGGATATAATCTTTTCCCACGATATTTTTCCTTCCAGCTTTTGTGTTGTCAAATGTAATCGGAAGGATCCAAATTAACTTCAGACTAAACAAATAAGTAAGTACTGCTTTGCAAGTGCATGCTGATTTGGGCTGGGATAGAGTTAATTTTCTTCATAGCAGTTGGTACAGGGCTGTGTTTTGGGTTTGTGCTGAGAACAGGGTTGATATCACAGGGATGCTTTCGTTCCTACTGAGCAGCGCTCACACAGAGCCAAGGCCTTTCCTGCCTCTCACCCCACCTCACCAGCGAGCAGGGCGGGAGGGGGGCACGAGAAGCTGGGAGGGGGCACAGCTGGGACAGCTGACCCCAACTGACCAAAGGGGTATCCCACACCGCATGTCGTCATGCTCAGCATATAGAGCTGGGGGAAGAAGAAGGAAGGGGAGACATTCAGAGTGATGGCGTTTGTCTTCCCAAGTCCCCTTTACGCGTGATGGAGCCCTGCTGTCCTGGAGATGGCTGAGCACCTGCCTGCCCATAGGAAGCAGGGAACGAATTCCTTGTTTTGCTTTGCTTTTGCTTTACCTATTAAACTGCCTTTATCTCAGCCCAGGAGTTTTCTCATTTTTACTCTTCTGATTCTCCCCCCATCCCATCAGGGGTTAGTGAGTGAGCAGCTGGGGCTAAATCATGACAAAGTATAAAAGGTTCCTAGAGAAACATTTTCTAGTGTCTAAGAGCATTGATTTCTTCAGACAGGCCAACAGATTCTGTCATAAATCCTAACAGACACTGTACAGACAAATGGGCTTGAGGTATTCTTCCATCATTTCATTTCTTTCCTGGAGCAAACTGTACCAGTTCTGAGTATGGGAATGCCATGAAAACACTGTTTTGGGGTAAGGAACACCTAAACAAGAATTAAGTCTCCTGCAAGCATTATCTACTGAAATTAAACAAGCAAACTCTCCCACCCTCCACTTAAAGAAAGTCTCTGCCTCTTCTGAAATAATGGTGAAAAGTCCAGGCAACACTTGAGTCCTCATCAGAAAAAAAAATTGCATTTTCATGTGCTCTTAATACTGCAATTAAACTCATGGTGGGTACTGCTTATCAGAAAACTGAAATAATTTCTGTGCTTCAGTGGACTGTAGAAGCAAACACATAAACCCACGCAAAATTCTCCTAGTCATGAGGACTGACAGCAGGATTATGTTCTACAGTGAAAACACTCAGGATCAGATTTTCCTTAGTGATCCACAACGGAAGAATATCACTGGGATATCCTCCAAGAATTTATCATCTTTCCTGTAGGTTTCTGACACCACTTAAACTGCCTCTTATTTGCAGGAACATTGTTCATCTCAGAAGCCTTCCACTAATGCAATAACAAAACAAAAAAAAAAAAAAGCAATGGAAGATACGCAGGGTCTTCTACTGGGAAATGTGGATACTCCTTGGAGACACTACATATGGAAAAGATCATGTAAATACGAGGGAAACTGCAAAGCAAGAATCTCTCAATTCTTATATAAATAAATATCTATCCATCTATCTATCTATATATCAGAAAACCTGCTTAAAATTTACATTTGGGAAGTGTCCAAGTTCCAAAAGATTTTCTCACCTCAAATAATTTTTCTGTGAAATGGTCAACTGCAACTGAATGGAAAAAGTTAGTTCTTCTCAGATCTAATAAATCTACAGAACTGACAAGAACCAAATACCCAGTTCTCCTCCGTATCCTAAACTACTGCTGGGGGGCAGGTCACCAAGATCCAGACAGCTTTTTAAAATTTGCTCTGATCTTTTCTATGGGACATCGGCATCTAAAAAAGGCAGAGGTACAAGGATTAAGGAATCTGTTGATGCTTTTAAATCTTTCTAATGCAAAATGGAGTGACTGAAGATTTACTTTCTAAATGTGACAGTGAAAAATTCCTGGAGATATAGGAAGTACTTGAGGTTTGTACATTTTTCTTTTATCAAAAGATTTGGTTTTGGTTTTATATTAAATCCCTAAATTCTGAATGATTAATCTAAGACCTGCAGTATACTGACATAATATCTGAATGCCTTCAGTGAAAAGGTAATGCTACAATTTTCAAATAAAGAAAATTAATTTTGTAATTTTCTAGAGTCCAGGCATATGTGGTACATAATCTAACTACTCAGTCACTATCTGTCATAAGCAGGGGACTCTTCTTCCTCCATATTGTAGACTAATCTCCCAGAAGGAAAAAAAAAAAAATCATTATTTTATCTTTGCTGTCTAGCGTATGTCCATTAATGTTACTTGGAGTATGTTAGGCAAATACTGTTCAGAAGACAGAAATAATAACGTAAGGGAATGTTTGTGGTGTTCATTCACCAGAAATGCTGTATGTAGTATTTATTTTCAAAATACCTATGTGAAGTGAGGTGGTATGTTTCTGTAATTTTGCACATGAGAATCGATGCCCAGAAAAACCCAACTTCAATCCACCTCTGCTGGATGTGCAAGAGCAACACTTCTGAAAATTAAACCGCAGGTCCTCAGAAAGAGTACCCCAGAAAGGAGGCACAGAGTGAAAAGCAATAAATGAATAAATACACCTTCCCAGATTCCTCAACAATTGAGGTGGTAATTCTACAGGTGATAGTAACTGCATATAATGAAACAGGCAGAAGTTATATGGCAAAAAATAGCACAGATTAAAGTTTTACATTTGGAATAATTACATACCAGGACTGAAGAGGACGATCGCTTTCAAATACGCATATTCATATCCATCTAAGCAAAGCTTAACCATGCTGTTACAGAACTCTTGCAGTTTGAAGATATGCTCCATTACTAATTTTCCTCTGTCTGTTGGCAGCTTATCTAAGTCAACACACACATAAAATATAAAACCCCCAAGTCAACACACATGCAAAAAATGTGGTCACACTGGATTTTTAGAAATAGTGATTTGTATTAGATTAAAACAGTGGGAAATCTGCGCCATCTGTGAACTCACATACTAGGTCTGAATAATCTTGACACAAACAATTATGGACTATTTTTGGTGTATTATGGGTATTTTTGGTGAACATGCTTAAAAACTATGTAGAGCAAAGTAAGTTCCCAAATTCCACTTGTATCACTCCTAGAGACATTCACAGATTTATCTGTTAATATCTGTAGCTGATCCATTACATTCAGTGGTTTAATCAATTTGTTTCAATTTTGTTAATTGTTTCAATTTTGTTACTTATAGGAGGATTTTGTGGATATTTTTAAAACATGAAAATCTCTCAGAAATAATTTTTTAATTCCCTTATCATAAAAGGAGAGGAAAAATCTAGTCTTGTGGGCTGCTTTTCTACAGCTTATCAATCTGGTTTTGCATACTATTAACAGCAGTGAATTTTCATCCACATAACAGCAAAGAACCCTAAAATCTAGTTAAACCAGAAAATGCTAACATTTTTGTATGTACATCTACCTTATTAAAAATGTGTTAAGACTATGCACAGATGATTATACTGGTTTTGACTGATGAGCTTTTAATGCTGACAACCTTGTGAGCATTCACAAGCACACAAAGAAGATTAGCTAGAAGACTCCCCTACCACTCAGAAGAACGTTTCCCTTCACTGTAGAGTAAATGAAAGAGGAGGCCAACTGACATCTCTTTCATTTGAATGGAAAATACACAAAAGGTGCAGGACATAGGATTAATAAGGAACGAAGTACACTTAGTGAAGATCTGTTGAAGACTTGCATGTAGTCTAAAACTGGTATACAGAAATCAACAAGCCAAGTTACGTAAAGGGAGTGCATCGCCAAGTTGGCATTCAGCTGCTTTCTTTCACAGCTATGAACAGCAAGGACAGGTGGGTCATTCTGTACTTTATACCCTTGATACAGAGGACTCATTCACAGTACACTTGTGTTCTTAACGTTGATGCTGCCTGAAATATTCTTAATTTGAGCTGATGTATATTAACAGAACAGCAGAACACTATTAGACATTATACAGACACACAATAAAAACAACCACAGTACATGTTAAGCTATATTAGATAGATGGGTTTGTTTTTTTTTTTAAATTGGGTAAGTACTAGCATAGCTGACCTGCAAAATTGCTAAAAATTCCATCTTGTGAGCTGTATTTTCTAGTATTATTTTGTTTCAGTACTAACCACAAAACACTTATAAACAATAAATTTTCATTAACAACTGAAGGATAAGTAAAAAGCTTCTGTGCAGTTCAAAACTTAAAAAACATGAAGTAATTCCCCAAGTCTGGCAATGTGCACAGTATACACCTTACCTTGCTGTAAACTGCCGTGAAGGTGATTAACAAATGCAGTTAATATAGTTGCCACATTCATAACTTGTGAACATTGTGCAAGACCAAGCGTAAAAAGTTCGTTCCAGCAGGCTTTTACTAATGATATGCTGTTATCCTGTCTATTAAAAAATACAATAATTCAACTTAACAAAACCAGCCATTTGCATTCACTTTTTTTTTCAATTTGAAGAACACTTCATAAAACATTCATTTAATTCAACATTGCAACCAGTACCAAAATGAAGCCCTGCATCAAAAGTATTTTTAGTTGCATGCTAGGATTAAAATACCTGTTTTAGAGTGACTTTTGTAAAGAAGTAATTTTTCTTTTAATGATCTAAAAGGAGACAGATTTCTATCAGAAAAGCAAGCTGAAGTTACAGTAAATGACAACTGTCTGGGCATATTCCATTATGCTAGTTTTCTTAAGATTTACGCTCATTGTTGAATAACATTTACATGCATGGGCAAAAAAAGTTTGCATTGTTCCTGTACTGTGGATGTAGAATAGACTTAAACGTTTTTTTTTCTTTTTACTTGAAATCTGGCAGGTTGGTATAATTTCTTAATTAAAAATACATGTGAAATGGAACACGTTAGATCAAGTTCCTGAGCTTCCTGACTGCTATTTTTTATATCCCCTTCACGTTTGGAATCAGGTTTGAAATACAGACTTCAAAGTATAAATAGAAGTCACAAAGATTTCTTTGCTGTAAAAATTAGTCCTTAAATTAAGTTTCATGTGTAGGCAATATTTTTTTTCAAATGCTGAAGCTTAATATTAGGTATGTCAATCCTTATTCAGGCACTTGCATATTAGTAACCTAACTTCCAGTATTGCCAAGCATCTCTAATTCCTAGAGCTTAACAAGAGCTCAGTACCTTAAAAAAGAAATCCTACCAGTGAGGAGTCAAATTCAGGTACCATGTTTCACAGTTTTAGCCAGTAAATATAAACAATGGAAATTTAAAAGAAGCACAAGACCTATCAAAGAAGAAAAGCATATTAAAGCTAGGATTTCAACTACAAAAATACAATGGAATGGATTTTTTCAAAAACGTTGATGTAATCTTCAAGAACATTTCTGATGATTTACTGCACTACTAATATGCCGAATGACAGATTAATGTACTGGATTACAGAGAGCTTGCCTAGAGCAGTATTTTTTACTATGATCCAGTCCTTGTTACGGTAGACATGATACTGTACATGCAGCTTCTACACATATTTGTCATATCCCCATTCATCTCCTGTCAAAGAGATGCTTCTATGCTGAAGAACAGTGAAAATAGGACATGCTGGCTACTCAGCTGGTGTATGTGTAGATAAATACCACCTAGAACAACTCTATGGCTGATCAAACTAAGACCAGAACCAGCTGATCAAACTAAAGCAGCCTCAAAAAAACTAGGAGGCGGTAGCCAGCCTGATGAACATTTCATGAGGAATTGCTCTTGCCTACTAAGATCCTTGTGCAGAAAGATGAAGTAAGCAGTAACTTGGTATCATTACCTAAATCAGCATGCCAAAGCCAACTATCTTGCTAAGACTAAGGAAAACATTGCCTGAGGAGGGAACCACCTGGACACAATTATCTACCTTCCTTACAAAAACATTACTATGGTTTTGTTTTGGGTCATCAACTCCTCTCAATTACTAGTACCATTTTCTCTTCCATTTTAAAAGTGAAATGAGTCACCCTTCTAAAAGTGAAAATTGTAGTACATAATGTGCTCAAACTAAAAAAAAATCCTGCATTAATTTCAAACAAATCTCCACTTGAAAAAAGTTAGTATTTAAAGCTCTTCAAAAAGAAAACTGTGTATTTATGTTAAATGGTGTTTAAATACTACTGTTGCCCATGATCTTGACTAGGACTGTATATGTTAACACAGGTGAATATTAAGACTACAAAGACAGCCTACTCTTCCATTGTTTTATTCAAACAGAAAAATATATTGGGAAGTAACATGTTCAAAAAATACACAGATCTTCTATAAGCATTTCTTGTTAAATCTTTTCGGAGAGACAAGTTTTCTGTACAACATTTTATTTTTAAAAAGTAATTCTCATTTGTCGTTGTAACACCAATTTGCAGTGTCTGCTACAAAAACTTCTTAAAAATGTATAATGATCTAATGTACTATGCTGATTTGCTATGCATTTTGAAATTCTGCAGGGCAGCAATTTCTACTAAATTAAAACATCATATTTACCCTTGTTATTGTTTAACTTTATAGAATTTTACTTTTTCCTTCTCTAAAACACAGGCTTCAATT